AAAAAAAAAAAAAAAAAAAAGTAGTAAAATTATTTTAAGACAAATATAGCAGAATTTAATGCACCCAAAATTCTTACTATACAATTATTTATATAGCACATTAGGATGCAGAAAGTCTTTCCATATATATTATCTCTGTCCTAACTACAGATGCAGGTATTTGCCCATATTAGAGTTTCATAAGAAATAAGTAGTGTGTCTAAGATGTAAACCCATTCCTCAATTACCCCTCAACCACAGAAAACTTGGTTAAAGGAATAGTGACAAAAAGCTTCCAAAATAACCTTGCTCTCTTATGAAGTGATGACTGCTCAAGGAGTTGAATAGATTTTTGAGCCTGGCGATGAGAGTCTTATCAGATTTATCAACACAAATGCAAAATACCATAATTTTCCAAATGATACTAGTTTGGCCAGGTACAATGGCACATGCCTTTAATCTCAGCGGAGAAAAGTCCCAGGGAGGAAAGAGGCAAGTGCATCTCTGTAGGTTCAAAGCCAACCTGGTCTAAATAGTGAGTTCCAGAGCAGCTGGGGCTATAGAGAGACCCTTTCTCAAAACAACAACAACAAAAAACCCAAAACCCCACAAAAACACTAAGCAGTAAAGCCAGAGGGGAGAGGGGAGAGGGACAGGGGAGAGGGGAGGCGGGGGAGAAAACAGGCAGCCTATTGTTTTTTGTTAGGAACTAAAGGCAGGGCTTAACTTGGTCTACATTTCTAGCCCAGAGATGAGTAATTCTTGTAAGGACACAGAAAACAGGAGAAAGAGGAAGAAAGAATACTATTTGATATGCTAGAATAGCTTAGTTTACACCACCCAACATTGTTATCACAGAATTATCAACATGATAATAATAACAGTTTACAAAGTCTAAAAGGAGATACATACATAAATTAGAATTTCCAAGTATTTGCGTATAAAATGAAAGTTTCTTCATATATTTTACATAAGCAATTAAACATTTTTGATTTATTTTTATTTTATGTGTATGAGTGTTTTGCCTGCATATATATTAATTAACTGTACCACATGCATGCAGTGCTCATGGAGGTCAGAAGAGGGATTGTATCCCCTAGAACTGGAGTTACAGATGATTGTGGGTGCTGGGAACCAAACCTACTGAACCTTGGCCCTCTGTAAGAGCAGCCAGTGCTCTTAACTGCTGAGCCATCTCTCCAGTTCTACAGAAACAATTCTCTACCACCTAATTCCTGTCCCAAACTCTGAAACCTAATAAAATAAAAAACTTTTTTTCTTCAGGGAATTAAGGATTCATTCATTCATTCATTCATTCATTCATTCATTCATTCATTCATGGGGGGCGTTGCCATGGTGCACATGTAGAAGTCAGAGGATAACCTGCAGGAATTGGCTCTCTCCTTCTACCATGTGGGTCCCAGGAATTGAACTCTCCTTGTTAGCAAATGCCTTTACTCACTAAACTAGCCAATTGTCCATCAAAACTTTGTTTTATAAACAAAGTGAAGAGAGAGAGAAGGGAGAGACTCTAGATAGGCTGACTAAACCCTCATGGATGAACTTGTACTGAGAGACATCTCAGGACACTAACTTTACATAATAGGCCTTAATACAAATGACGATGTATGAACTCCACGGGGGGGGGTGGATGGGGGCTATGTGAGGGTGCCAAAGGGGAACAGGGAAGGGGGCATAAGGATGATTTCATGTATGAAATACAAAAATTCAATAAAAAATTTTTTAAGGTTGAATATGATACAGAAATAAAGTATATAGAGTTTATGAACAGATGCAATTCTTTCTAATAAATATATGAAATAAGAAAAAAACCCTGCCTTCATGGGGGCTGGAGAGATGGCTCAGTGGTTAAGAGCACTGACTGCTCAACAGAGGACCTGGGTTCAGTTCCCAGCACCCACATGACACCTAACTGCCTGTAACTCCAGTTCCAGGGCTGGGGGGCGGGTTGTCCAACATTCTCTTCTGACCTCTCTGGGCATTGCATGCACATGGTACACACACACATACATACATGCATACATACATGCAAAATACTCACATGCATCAAATAAAAAATTAATTTTTTAAACTGCCTTTATTATCATTTTAAAGGTATGAGAAAGCCTTTTTTTTAAAAAACCATACCCAAAGAGTTAATAAATGCATATACTAGGGAAAATTCATTTTAAGGAAAATATTCATGGGCCAGCAAGACAAGTCAGCAGGTAAAATACTTGTTGCACAGGTGTGATGACCTGGAACCCATGTAAAAGAGGAATTGGAGAACCAACTCCACAAAATTGTCCTCAGATTTTGACATATGTACCATGACATGCACATACAATAATAAACTTTTAAAAAAAAAGAACAAGACATGCACACACAATAATAAACTTTAAAAAAAAAAAGAACAAGATTAGTGTAGCAATGCACACCTTTAATGTAGTAGAGTCAGGCAACTCTCTGAGATCGAGGCCAGACTAGTGTACACAGCAAGCTCCAAGCCAGCTGGAGCTACAGGAGACCCTGTCTTTTATTTTGTTTTATTTCATTTTTTCTGAGATGGTCTCCCTCTAGCCCTAGCTGGCTTGGAACTCTTGAACTCACAGAGATTTGCCTGCCTCTGCTGGGATTAAAGGCATGTACCACCACACCTGGAGAAACCCTATCTTTAAAAAAAATAAATAAATAAAAGGTAAAAGCTAATATTTAGACATTTATCCAACTTCTAAGAGATGATATAATTCTCAAGTCAGTATCAAGGTTATTAAGGCTGCCTTAATTATCCAAATTTATACCTTAAATTCTTCACTTAGCCCCAAAGAAAGAAAAATTAAGATAACCTAACAAAGGTAAAACTGTTCCAGCATAACAAAGGTAAAAGTGTTCCCGACTAATATTTCTGTTTAGATCTTTAAATTTTCCACTTGAGGTTTTCATTTTAATAGTCCTTGAGTTGCCCCCCCACTCCTACCCCCATGTACTATTATTCTCTATTTCTTTTTTTTTTCTAATGTGAATTTAAACTTTCTTTAAACAGAGTCAGATACTGGGATATAACCTCTGATGTTTAAAGTCACTGGTTAGCAATAGATTGAACTTTCCATGCGTAAGAATGCCCCACATCAAAAAATATTTCTTGACCTCATAAGTAAGAGGGTAAATGAATTCAAAGTCAGGTAGGACTCACAAAGCAGCCAGTCCCTAGATACAACTCATAAGCCTGGGGTTGCATCTCATCCACAAAAAGTGTTTTTCTAATTTTCACTTGGGACTGTTTCAGAGCAGTCTACAGACAAATCATCAAGGCCATAAATCTAGACACAAGAGCACAAGTAGCCTTCTTAGCATCAGAAATTTTCATTGCTTCAGCTTCCCAAACCAGAGTAAAACAGAAAAGAGACTATCAAAACACATTTTTAATATTCTTAATCTAGTCTTCAGATGACTATAGCCCTAGAAAATAGATTAACTCTTAATTTCTTGGAAGACCCTACTAATCCAAACCACCCAAGCTAAGCTGCTTCTAAATTCCTGATTCAAAGCAATGATATAATAGTTTTAAAATGCTAGTGTTTTGGCAGTATTTTGCATAGTAGATAACACACACACACATATGCACACATAATTAATCTAAGGTCTAGAGTACATATAGCTCAGTGTAAGAATGACCAGGTCCTAGGTTTGATCCCGAGCACCACAGAACAAACAAAACTGGTCTAAATATATAAGTCATCAAATATATAAGTCATCAATGGTAAGAACTCACCCCCAATTCAGATTAATTAGCACCTCAAGTAAAATCAAGTCAATAGCAGGACTACTCATGTACCAGATTTAATTAAAATATCATTAACAGACTTTAAAGTATGAAAGATAGGTTCTAATATTAGTTACCTGCACAATTGGTGGAGTTGTCTGTGAATATGGTGATGTCACACCATAGACAGTTGGACATGTCTGTCCTTGATAATATATGGTTGCTTGAGATTGTGCAGGAGAGTACTGCTGCTGTACACTGATAGACTGCTGGTTTGAATCCCAGACGCTGTAATTCTGTCCCTGGACTGGGCCTGAAGCTTGTACTGGCATTACAGCAACATTAGAGTCCTGGTGCACCACACTTTCATTCTGGGCTACATACTGTGAACTGGAAACTTCCACAGAGGCTGCCACATGTGGCACTACTGGTACTGATGAAGGGGCAGCAAGGGGTTCTGTAGAATGTCCAACCAAGGGCTGAGTATGATCATATGAAGCAGGAGAGCACACAGGGTCCATGCTGGGTGTGGGCAGAAGCACCTTTCCAGCATTAGGATTGCTGGGATCCACATAGGCCTGCATGGGATAGCCTGGTGGATAGCCAGCAAAGGGGTGATGAGAGGCATTGTAACCAAGAGAGTCATATGGTAGTGGTGATGTCATTCCCAGGCTCTGCATCTGTTGCTGCTGCTTCTGAGCCTCCCGTTGGGCTACCTCTTGCTCAAACAACTTCCGGCGCTCCTCTGTAGAAAGTTTATTTCGGTCTTTAATTCGTACTTTCTTTTTAGAAGTTGGTGTATCATATCTATAAAGAAAACAAGACCACAGAAAGTTACTAAATCAGGGACATAATCAAAACATTAACACTCATGACTAAACCACTAACCACACCAAGTCTAAGTTGGCATTGGCTGAAAGTCATACTCAAAATTAATCAGAACTTGTAGTCAATGTTAAAAGGACTTGCTTAGCATGCAGGAAGTCTTCAGATTCAATCCCCACTACTGCACTAGCAAAAACAAGGGGTTAGAGAGGTGGCTCAGCAGTAGAGGACCTGAATTTGGCTATCAGTACCCATGTCAGGTGACTCACAACTGCCTTTACCTATAGTTCCAGGGGAATCTGATGCCTTGGACTTCTGTGAGCATCTGCACTCATGTGCACATACCCTACACACAGACATACACATAAATAAAAAATAAAATCTGTTTTTCACAATGTCATAATAGTTTATTTTGTACACTAAACAGGTATAATGGCTCACACTTGTTATCTCAGCACTCAAGAGGCTAAGACAGGTGAAGACATGCTCAAAGTTGGACCATCATGAACTACATAGCGAGTTCCAGGATAACCTGTGTTATAGAGTAAGAGCTTGTCTCAAAACAACAAAAATTTGAAGAAAAAAAGCTGGGTGTGGTGGCACATACCATTAATCCCAGCACTGGACCTCTGTGAGTTTCAGGCCAGCTGGGGCTACAGGGAGACCCTATCTCAAAAAACCCAACCTCCACCCTGAAAAAAAGGGAATGGGGGAGAATAGCACAATGGCAGAGCACTTGCCTAACATGGGTTAAGTCTTGAGTTTAATTCCCAGCACCACACAAAACCAAAAACTCAAAACAACAAAAAAAAAGAATTTCTTTGGGGCTGGAGAGATGGCTCGGTGGTTAAGAGTATTGGCTGCTCTTGCAAAGGACCCAGGATCAATTCCCAGCACCCACAAGGCAGCTAAAAAATGTTTTAACTCCAGTTGCAGGAGCTCTGACAACCTCTTCTGACCTCTGTGGGCATTGTACAACATGGGTACACCTATATGCATACTGGCAATACACTCACAGACATAAAACAAAAATAAAAGAGCCCTTGTTGTGTCAATCATGAGAACCAGTTTGTATTTCAGCACCTATGTAACAAGGCTGGCATGCTGTGTATTGCTTGTAACCTCAGCGCCCAGAGGGATGGAGACAGGAGGATTGCTGGAGCTTGTCAACTTCTAGCCCAGCTGAGAAAACAGCCTAACTGAACCCCAGGCAGAGACCTTGCCTCAAAGAAATAGGTGAAGAATGATAGGATACTTTTGGTCCTCTTTCTGCCTTTGTGCACACAGGTATGGGCACCTGTACACTCACATGCACACATATATACACAGAAACACACACAAATCCTGAAAAACTTTAAAAGACAAATCCTATCATCGCCTATAAACTAATCATGAGAAACAGAAAAGTTGAAGGAAAAAAGGGAAGGAAAAGAGATTATCAGCTAAATACCTTACAACAAGAAGAGAATATACTTTGTTAATACCAAAAAGAAGAGACTGAGCCAAGCATGGTAGTTCATGCCTTTAATCCCAACACTTGGGAGGCAGATCACTGGAAGACTGAGGCCATCCGGGTCTACATGGCCAGTTCTAGGCCAGCTGGGTCTATAGGGAGACCGTATCTCAAACACACGAAACAGAAGAGATTGGCTGGGCATAGATGCACACTTTTAATCCCAGCACTTGGGAAGCAGAGGCAGAGGCAGGCAGATCTCTGTAAGTTCCAAGCCAATCAAAGCTATGTAGTGAGACCCTGTCTTAAAAGGAAAAAAAAAAAAAAAAAAAGACACAAAGCAAATCTAAATAAAATCTCAGGAACTGTTAACATAAATTAATCAATGGCAATTAAGTTAGAAGCTTAACAAACATACACACACTGGAAAGCATAATGGAAATTAGAAGAGAAAACATGTTAGCTAAGAATCCAGACTAAATAAGAATTTTTTACAAGAGTGCTGAGTGTGGTGGTACAGACCTGTTATCCCAGTACTAAAGAAACGGAGGCAAGAGGATCAGGAGTTAAAGATGATCTTCAGCTATGTATTGAGTTAGAGGCCAACCTAGGCTACAGGAGACCCTTTCTCAAAAAAAAAAATAATAATAATAATGCCAGGTGTGATACTGCATGCCTTTAATCTCAGCACTCCGGAGGCAGAGGCAGGCAGATCTCTGTGAGATTGAGACCAGCCTGGTCTACATAGCAAGTTCCAGGCCAGCTGTGACTACAGAGACCCCATGTCTCAAGACAAAAAAAAGCATGAACCTAAAAAGAAGGAAAAACATGAGAGAAAAGCAATTATCAAGATAAAATATCACTATGTGATTTGTATTGGAGATCTTGCAACACAAATAAGGCATAGGATTAGAAAGCAAATTAAAACTATGTAAGTGATAACATAAAAAGATGAATAAAAGAGTAGGGACTCATAAAAATTGTTAAAGTAGTTTTATATGGTCATTAAACACAAGATGAATATACGAAAGACAACTGTGTATCTAAACAGTACCAACATACCAAAAATGTAATGAAAAATTAAGATTGCTAGGGGAAAAAAAAAAAAATCACACAGGTGTGTCTTTATGGAAAATACTATAAATTTGATTTAGGGGGAAAATATATTTATCTTTTTGAGACAGGGTCTCCCTTGGCCTGGCACTATATAGACCAGGCTGGCCTCAATCTCAAGAGATCTGCCTGCCTCTGCCTCTGGAGTGTGTTATGACTAAAAATGTGTACTACCATGCCCAGCTTTTACTAATATTTTTTAGTTAGCTTTTCATTGTGACTTTCTCACATATATGTATTTTTTTAATTTGGTCTTTTTGAGACAGGGTCTCCCTGTAGCCCCAGCTGGCTTGGAACTATGTAGACCAGGCTGGCCTTGAACTCACAGAGATCCACCTGCCTCTGCCTCCTGAGTGCTGGGATTAAAGGCGTGCACCACCACTCCTGGCTCTCATATATTTAAGGAAAACTTTTGCCTGGACATGTAGCTCATGCCTGAAGGTTCAAGATAGCCTAGTTTAGGGACTGGAGAGATGGCTCAGTGGTTAAGAGCACTGACTGCTCTTGTAAAGGACCTGGGTTCCATTCACAGCACCCACATGGCAGCTACAAAACGTCCTTAACTCCAGTTCCAGGGAAATCTAAGGCCCTCTTCTAACCTCCGCAGCATTACAATGACACGGGTGCACTCACATACATGCAGGCAATATACTCATACACATGGAATAAAAATAATAAAATGTTTTAAAAAAAAAAAAGATAGCTGGGTGAGGTGTCGCATACCTTTGATCCCAGCACTTGGGAGGCAGATGCAGGCGGATCGCTGTGAGTTCAAGTCCAGCCTGGTCTACATAGTGAGTTC